TCAATGATAAAATCAACTAACATCAATGATAAAATCAACTAAAATCAGTGATTTAAAAAATCCAATAAAATCAATGAATAATTCAACTACAATCAGTGCTTAAAATCAATTAAATCAGTGATAAAAAATCAACTAAAAATCAGTGATAAAAATTAACTAAAATCAATGATAAAATCAACTAAAATATGTGATTAAATCAACTAAAATCAATGATGAAATCAACAAAAATATATGATAAATCAACTAAAATCTGACAATCAACAAAAATCAATGATAAAATCAACTAACATCAATGATAAAATCAACTAAAATCAATGATAAAATCAACTAAAATCAGTGATTAAAAATCAATGATTAAAATAAACTAAAATCAATGATAAAATAAACTAAAATCAGTGATAAAAAATCAACTAAATCTGTGATAAAAATCAACTAAAATCAATGATTAAATCAACTAAAATCAGTGATAAAAACAACTAAAATCAATGATAAAATCAACTAAAATCAGTAATAAAATCAACTAAAATCGGTGATAAAAATCAACTGTGATAAAAATTAACTAAAATCAATGATGAAATCAACTAAAATCTGTGATAAAAATAAAATAAAATCAATGATTAAATAAATAAAATCAATGATAAAATCAACTAAAATCAGTGATAAAAATCAATGATAACATCAACTAAAATCAATGATTAAATAAACTAAAATCAATGATAAAATCAACTTAAATGAGTGATAAAAATAAACTAAAATATGTGATAAAACTAAAATCAGTGATAAAATCAGTGATAAGATCAACTAAAGTCTGAAAAAGATAACTAAAATCTGATTCAAAAAATCAACTAAAATCAATGATAAAAATCAACTAAAATCAGTGATAAAAATCTAATAAAATCAATGATTAAATCAACTAAAATCAGTGCTTAAAATCAATTATATCAGTGATAAAAAATCAATTAAAAATCAGTGATAAAATCAACTACCATCTGTGATAAAAAAAAATCAACTAAAATCAATGATTAAATCAACTAAAATCAGTGATAAAATCAACTAAAATCAATTATAAAAATAAACAAATGTTATAAAATCAACTAAAATCGATGATAAAATCAGTGATAAAATCATCTAAAATCAGTGACAAAATCAATTAAAATCATTTATAAAAATCAACTAAAATCAGTGATCAAATCAACTAAAATCAGTGATGAAATCAAACAAAATCAGTGATAAAATCAATGATAAAATCAACTAAAATCAATGATAAAATCAACTAAATCAGTGATAAAATCAACTAAAATCAATTCAAATCTGTGATAAAATAAATTAAAATCAATGATAAAATCAACTAAAATCTGTGATAAAATCAACTAAAATAATGATAAAATCAACTAAAATCTGTGATAAAATCAACTAAAATAATGATAAAATCAACTAAAATCAATGATAAAATCAACTTAAATCAGTGCTAAATTAACTAAAATCAGTTATCAAATAACTAAAATCAATTATTAAATCAACTAAAATCAGTGATAAAATCCAATTAAAATCTATGATAAAAATAAACTAAAATCAATGATAAAATCAACTAAAATTAGTGATAAAAATCAACTAAAATCAGTGATAAAATCAACTAAAATCAGTGATACAATCATGTGGAGGCAGAATAGGCTTGCTTAAAAAGAAAAGTCTTTAAGCCTTTTTTAAAGTCAATCAATGGTTGTGAAGCTCTCAGATAAGACCATGGGTGGCACGTATCTTCTGGCTGACTCTCTGTGGTGGAATCCATTTTCGGTGCTTAAGGTGCACCCAGCTCAATGATGTATATACTAGAATACACGTCATTGGCCCAGCTCTTCTTGAAGGTGGGTCTAACGTTACCTGCCCACTTCGCAGTGATTCAATGGACCAACTCCCCTCTCACCATCGGTTACTTTAAAACTAACGAACAAATAAAAAAACACAACATGAATGTAACGTGTAACACAACACATTATAGAAATGTAGTGTAGTAGAAAGTACAGATGCTTAATGTAAAATGTAGTGGAGTAAAAGTTGAAAGTACCAACGTTTAACTCTACTTAAGTAAAGTACAGATACATGGAAAAATGCACAGTTACAAAGTATTTGTACTTTGTTAAATCCCACCTCTGATCAGCAAGCAGTAGAATCTTCTACTGATAATAACATCAGCAGATGTCTCTGTTATCCTCCAGAAGCCATGGCCTTCTTTGGGGTCTAAAGTGTGTTCTAAGTGCATGGCTGCTGTGATATATGCTGGTTC